GTCAATATTGTACCACTACAAGACAACATAAATTCACATAAATCAACATTTACTTAAGTGATCCAGTGCTTAATGAGCATGCACTATGTGCTATATGCTTATGTAACCTTTCCTTTATCCATGTACCTGCTTTTACTCTGCTGCACATAAAATGCATAATCCATGGCCCTATAATCACGAAGATGCACATTGGAATGTGAGCACAATTTCCAGTCTGACAAACTGAAACCCAAATCTTGGCTCTACCACTTAGTAGCTTTATGACTTGCTCTAGTTACTTAACTTTTTTGAACCTTAGTTTTCCCTTCTTTGAAATAAAGACAATGCTCAGGACATATCCATCTGTTATGTAAACTGCAAAAGCTATAAAAATGTAGACATTAGATAAAATATTAGTTTCCTTCTTCCTATTACAAAAGACCAAAATTTTATCATACTTACATATAAAATATCAGGTGATGGTATATGACATAAAATTTATACCCCCTACCCCCAACCTGCATTAGGTACATATCTAGATGGCTTAGAAAAGCTATTTGGACTCTTAATATTTTTACTTTTTTTTATAGGCTGAATTGACTCAGAAAGAAAGTCAAAAACGGAATTGTATCAAATCTGCAAGTTCCTACTCATACCCCAAAACAAACTAAGAGTCAGCAACAGCGTGCACGTTTGACTGACAGAAAAGAGCATGAATTTTGTACAGACTGATCCATTCCACTTTGCAAAGGCAAATAATAATAGTATTGTTTCTAGTTAAGCAACATCAGTCAAAAATACAGAAATCCCATTAGATTAAAACATGAGTACTCATGTCTTTCTTTTACTGACACTTATTCATAATTGCAATAGAGTTCTATTTGGACTGATCTTTTAATTCCAAATTTCATATAGAGGTGTTTTACATTCATGACATTTTAGATATTAAGATTCCACATGGAACTAATCACAAGCTGGAATGCAAAGCCAAAGAGAGGGTTTCGTTAACTCAGTCCCAGATCATTTCCCCTCCTAGCACCCTTTTCATTAGTGCCTGCTTAACTGTTCTCATGCTTTGAAAGATAATTTAGCAAGGAGTACTTATTAATTATTCATCTCTTTTTCTGCAAAGGCTTATACAATCAGCTGTAAGAAGTTCTGGCAACTGATGTCAATACAGTGAACTGATATCCCAACCCAAAAGGAAGAAATGTGAAATTTTAGTGGTCCCATAAGGCTTTATCTCAGAAGTGTGCATAATTTCCATTAGATTCTATAAAGCAATAAAGAAACAGGCAGGCGACATTTCTATCTTTACAGTGCCTCAGGGGACTAGGATCCCCCATGATAGGAGCACCTTGTTTTGTTGCTCAAAATGGAATTAAAAAGAAAAAGATTGGAAATGCTATTGACTCATATGGCAGACATCAGGAGCAGGTGAACTCAGAAATGCCAAACTGCTCAGAAGATCCCCTTTTAGTCATTGTTTAGTTACATGTGACAGAAGGACGATTAACCAAAGCCATAGATCAGACCTCAAGTGGTGTTCAGTGCGGAATAGATGCAGGCGCTCTTCTGATGAGCCTCTGGTTAGTCATTAAGCATGCAGGGAACTGTTCCTAGCAGCCATGGGCTACATTTGACCCTCTAATAAATTTTCATATATCTCACAGTATTTGAGATAACTGTTTTATTGTGTTCAAAATGGCTATCCCAGGCCATATTGAAATTCCCCTCCTTTAGACTCCTTTAGGACCCAGAGCATCTTTGCCTGGGCACTTTTGCCTAACCACTTCCTGGGCTGCACTCAATCTAGAGCAGTGGTTCTCAACCTTCCTAATGTCATGACTGTTTAATACGGTTCCTAGTGCTGTGATGACGCCCAGCCATAAAATTATTTTCATTGCTGCTTCATAACTGTAATTTTGCTACTGTTATGAATCGGGCAACCCCTGTGAAAGGGTCTTTCAACCCCCTCAAAGGGGTCGCGACCCATAGGTTGAAAACCACTGATCTAGAGAGAAATATTCTCAGCGAACAGGAAGAAGGTCCAGGCCAGAGTTCCTGTCTTAGTTATGCTGCATTGCTAGGGTTTGGTCTCCATGCAGTTTCTATCAAAGTATACCTTGTTTCCCCTAAAGGCTGAATTAAAGAATCTATCCTCATGAAGTCCCAGGGTGGGCCAAACAGGTTACTGTGCTTGACTGCTCACCAAAAGGTTAGAATTGCAAGTTCACCGAGAGGTGCCTCAGAGAAGGGATTGATGGGCTAATTCTGAGAAATCAACTATTGAAAACCCATTAAAACATCATTTTACTCTGACAAACACGAAGTCATCATGAGTCATTGAAGTTGACTTGAAGTCAACAAGTTATTTCTGTAGCTGTACTCTGACAAACAAGATGCCCGAGCTGGAAGAACTTTAAGTATATAAAAACTCAACCAAATTCACTGCCATCCAGTCAAGACTGACTCACAATGACCCTGTAGGACAGAGTTAGAACTGCTCTTACGAGTTTTTGAGACTGTAACTCTTTACAGGAGTAGAAAGTACGATCTTTCTCCCTAGGAGCAAATGGTAGTTTCAAACCGCTAACCTTGCTGATCGCAGCCCAATGCATTATCACTGTGCTACCCGGATTCCTTAGCCTAAGGCATACACAGTCCAAATCTCTCTAATCTTACAGATATGGAAAACATAATCCAGAGAGAGGTGAATTTGTTTTCTTTGATTGCTCATCAATTAGGGGTAGAGTCAAAATACCCCCAAACCAAACCCAGTGCAATTGAATCCATTTAATTAATAACGACCATATTGGGCATATTAGAATTGCCCATAGAGTTCTAAGGCTGTGAATTTTGACAAAAGCAGACGGCCACATCTTTCCCCTGTGGAGCCACTCAGTTAAAACCACAGACATTGTAGTTTAAAACTGAGCACTTTAACTGCTGCACCACTGGGGTTCCTTAGAGTCAGCAGATCAGAACCAAACCCACTGCCTCAAGCTTGATTCAGACTCTTCTAGATCCTATAGGATAGGGTTTTTCTTTAAAAGAGCTAAAAGCCTTATCATTCTCCTGAGTTGTTAATGGGTTTGAACTACTGACCTTGAAGTTAGCAGTACAATGCTAATTCCACAGTGCCACCAAGGCCCCTTAAAGTCAGAATGGTAATACATAATATCTCACTCAGTCCCCGCATTCTTTCCACATCCTATACATCAGCATTATTTCTGACCATCCTGATTTTCTTCCTAAAATCATTAATGAAGCGCCCAACACACACAGGATCATAGAATCAGTAGAAACTAAAATAATATCTTTCTGAACATGGCTTTCCATGCTTTGTGGCTCTCTATTCCTAGAATTCTCCATCTCCAGCATGATACATCAACACAGGCAGGCCACAGGCTGAGCCTCTTGCTCCCATCATACCAATGCTGACTCACAGTGACCCGCTGTGGGTTTCTAAGACTGTAACTGTTATTGGGAGTAGAAAGCCCAGTTTTTCTCCTGAAGAGCTATTGGTGGTTCTGAACTGCTGGCCATGTGAATTGAAGCCCAATGCTTAACCACTACACCACCAGGGTTCCCTATTTAGCTGAATGTGAAATGGCTTAACAGCTATTCTTCAACCTACTAGAGTGTAGAGGCAGGATCTTCAGATTTTACCCACTGAGGCCTCAGAGTGTTGTGCAGGCCCACCAGATGTGCCTAGTATCTCCACACACATCAGCGTCTCAGTGGGACTGAGGCTTTTCTCAGGTAGAATGTGGGGGATAAAGGCATGGGATTTGGAATAGAACACTTAATAGGACTCATGAATCTGCTCCTTAATAGCTGTGCTGCCTTAAAGTTATTTAGATTTTCTATGCCTCAGTTTACTCCTCTCCATAAGATAGAGGTAAGAGATAATGATCTGTATAATAGAGTGACAAGATATTTAACTCGACCAGGTGCCTAGCATACAGGAGATATTCATTCAGGAAGTGGCAGTGCTATCAATATTATTATAACTGCTTATCAAAAATAAGACACGAATGAGACTTCTGTGCCAAGTATTATATTTTGGCACTCATTAAGCAAGGGTTTTCATTTTTTTCTTTCAATATTTAGAGCATTCACATGATGTCCTGAACACATAATCTAGGGAAATGGTTTAGTTATATGAATAGACTCCCATACTTAGCTATTAGCTAAAGAATATATCCCAAATGGCACTATAAATTATCCTGTGCTTGAAAACAGGAAGAGAATTTCGCCAACACCTTTAAATTGGAAGCAGTAAATTAATGTTGAAAGTACAGCTGCTAAGTGTCCAACAGAGTCATGAGCTTCATCCTAATGACACCTTTTTTAAAGCGAATATCAAAGGAATTAATGAGGATTAGCCACTCTGCTTTAAACGATTATCTCTTTACTGAAACATTCAGGTCTTGTGACAGGGGCACGTTCACTGCCTCTCACAACCAGAACCACCTCATCTTTAAAGTAGGTTAAATGTACATATCCCCATTAGAAGTCTATCTCCGGTCCAGCAGGTGAGGTCAATGTCCCAGGGCTACAAGTAGGGGGCACCCTGAGCAGTTTCTATCAACCATGGTAATTTCTCTGTCCAGCTGTGAGAGACCATTCAGCAAAAGTAGTGCTTTCGTATTTGAACGCTACTGTGGGTCAAGGCAGACCTGGTCGTCTACCACAGCTGAGTGCAGAAAGAAAAGAAACTTACAAATGACTGTAACATAGAACAGATCAATTTTCATCACTGAAAGCAAAGAAGAGACCGTGGTCATTTGCATGCCGTGTCCCAGTGCTTTAAATGACAAATTAATGAGGTTGACTTGCATTTTGGAGATGTTATCATGGTCGTTACTTAAGAGACCTGTGTGTCCGAGCTTTAGAGAGGGCTACAACCTCCGCGCTTGCCATAGGTGCTATTTTTCAAAGCCAAGCCTCGGTTCCGCCCTTCTCCCGCCCCTTTCCTGCAAGGTGCCACCTCGCCCGGCGGGGCTGTCGCTTACCACGAACTCCTCCAGAGTCTGGTAGGTCTTGCCCCGGAA